AGAACCAATCCTAAAAGCAGGACCAATCCTAACTAAATCATCCCGGACAGGGCTTTGTCAAGCCAGGACTTAAAAACCTCTAGGGATGGTGATTCCACCTACCTATTCCAGTTCTTCACCACCCTCATTGAGAAATAGTTTTTTTCCTAATATCCAACCTAGAGCACCCTCATTGCAACTTGAGACCATTGCTCCTGGTCATCTGTCACCATGAGAACAGCCTCCCTCCACCACTTTGGAACCCTCCTTCAGGTAGTTAAAGGCTGCTATCAAATCCCCCCTAACTCCTCTGTAGACTAAATAAATCCAAATTCCTTAGCCTCTCATCGTACGTCGTATGCTCCAGCCCCCTAATCCAGCTATGGCCAGCCAGAGGCTTGTGACCCACATGCAGCTCTTCCTTCCCCCCCGGGTGCAGCTCTTGAAGCCTCCTCCTTCCCCCTATGGCTCAAAAGCTGCCCCCATGTCCCGAAAAACGGCCCTCTCATCCTGGCTCCCTGATCTAGGCAGGGGAGCCATCCGGTGCAGCCATGAAAGCTACAGAAATAAAAATGGCAGCAGGCAGCAGACACCTGCTGTGGCCAAAAAGCCTAAAAACATGTTTAAATGTGGTTTCTTAAAGGGGCAGAAACTTTTTAATTTTTTTATTTTTATTTTTATTTTTTTTGCTCGACAACTTTGCTGTGGCTCTTTGCACTGGATCCACTGCTATCGTGGCTCTTTACCCAGAATGAGTTGGCCACTCCTGCCCTAATCATTTTGGTTGTCCTCCTCTGACCCTCTCCAGTGTGTCCAAATTCTTTCTGTAGTGGGGCCCCCAGAATTGGACTCAATATTCCAGTTGTGGCCTCACCAGTGCCAAATAAAGAGGAATACTCACTTCCCTAGATTTGCTAGCAGTGCTCCTACTAATGCACACCAATATACCATTAGTCTTCTTGGCTACAAAGGCACACTGTAGACTAAAATCCAGCTTCTCATCCACTGAAATACCCAGGTCCTCTTCTACAGAACTGCTGCTTAGCCAGTTGGTTCCCAGCCTATGCTATGCTTGTAATTCTTCCACCCCAAATGCAGAGCTCTGTACTTGTCCTTGTTGAACCTCATCCAATTTATTTTGGCCCAATCCTCCAATTTGTCTAAGTCACTCTGCCCCTACCCTCCAGCATATTTACCTTTCCCCCTACTTAGTGTCATCTGCGAACTTGCTGAGGGTGCAATCCATCCCCTCATCCAGGTCATTAATAAAGATGTTGAACAAAACCAGCCCCAGAACTGAACTTTGGGGTATTCCTCTTGACACTGACGGCCAACCAGACATCGAGCTGTTGATTACTATGCCTTGAGCCAGACCATTTAGCCAATCCATACTTGTTTAACTTGCTGGCAAGAATACTTTGGGAGACCATATCTAAAGCTTTGCTGAAGTCAAGGTATATCACTTCCACTGCCTTCTCCATGTCCACAGAGCCAGTTACCTTGTCACAGAAGGCAATCAGGTTGGTCAGACCTGACTTGCCCTTGGTGAATATATGTTGGCTATGCCTGATCACTTTCCTCTCTTTCAAGGGCTTCAAAACGGATTCCTTAAGGATCCCTTCCATGATTTTTCTGGGGACTGAGGTGAGGCTGACTGGTCTGTAGTTCCTCAGCTTGTCCTTCTTCCCTTTTTAAAAGATGGGCACTAAATTTGGCTTTTTCAAATCATCTGGGACCTTCCCTGATCACCACGAGTTTTCAAAGATAGTGACCAATGGCTCTGTAATCATATCAGCTTGCTCCCTCAGCACCTTTGGATGCATTAAATCCCTGGATTCGTCCTCTATGTGTACCCAGTCTCATCTCTGCAAAAGAGGCTGCTAAGGCCCTATCCACTCCTCTTTTTACTCTTTACACTGTTGATAGCTTACTGTAAGGTCCAACCTACATTTAAAAAAGAAAAAGAAAAAAGGATGGAGTCAGGTCAAAGGGGACATGCACATTGTTCCACTTCCAGCTTTGTGACAGATATTCTTTCAGGTGGAAGGCTATACAGGTTGAACCTGTCTAATTTGGCATCCCAGGGACCTGACCGTTTTTGAACCAGAGAGTTTGCCGAACCATGGGAGATCAATATTGTCTAGCAGCATTATCAACACTTTCACTGCTTACTGAGCTCTTAGAAGACATTTAGGGGTAAATTCTACCTAAATAACAGCATAAAACACTGAAAGCCAGGACTGGTGCCTGAAAATAAAGTGTATGGGGCCATGGGAAACGTGACCACACCCATGATAAGTGGATATGCGGCTAACTAAATTCATGCCAGACCACAGATACTGCTTGACTAAAGAGTGCTGGACTAGAGAGGTTCATCCTGTATTAACATTTCCATTGAGTTCTGCTCTGGTCCCTAAGCTGCCAGAGCTAAGGAGGAGTTCTTAGCAGCATGGCTCAATGGAACTACGCTGCTGGGGGAAAGAGGAGGCTGCCAGCATACAAGGCCTCGAAGCCTTAGCCTCCCACAGATCCTGAGGGAATCTGGTAGCAGCTATTTAGGGTCCAATCCGACATTCCTTGCACTTTCCAAATTTCCTCTAAAATTCAAAGAATTAGATTTTTTTGTTTCAGTTTGTAGTACTTCTGATTTTTAATATCTTGGCTGCTTCCCTAAATGGAGCAACTGGGAAAAGTGGGGTAAGACTTGAAAATGAGTGCAAACATATTCTGAACCCCAGATATCTGGCCTTCTACTGTCCCACCCTCTTAAAGCAAGAAAAAATGAAGTCAGTTTAATAATGTTCCCATTTTAAATTTAGAGGAGCTCTTAGCTTTCTTTTTCAAATCCAAGTTAGAAAAAAAATGTTTCCATTTTGCACCTGTCAGCTTTCATAGTGTCCCTTTAAAATTAGCTGTTAGGTAGGTAGATTGTTGGCATCAATGTATGTCTGGCAATAATTTATTTGTATGGCTGTTGCAAAGATTAATTTTACCATCTAAGGGACTTATTGGAATAGATCATGCAGGAAAAACTGCAAGAGACTATTGTTTTTTCTTGCTGACATCAAGAAACCATGTAGTAGTGGAGATGGAGAAAAGGTTTTCTTTCCCAGGGAGTGGTCAGGAGCATAGTCCTCCAGACAAAACGTAGACACTCTTCTATTTGGAATGGGCTCAAAACCAGATAACACACAATTCATATGCACATAAGGTGGCAAGGCACACAAAAAGTACTGCTTACGGAATTTTGCTCCATGCTGTATGAATGGCTTTATTATTCACAGCAAGGGGTTAGGGAAAATACACCAAAAGAAGATAATAATGACATAAGTCCTTTGAAACCACTGTCAAATTCTCTCTGTGTAGCCATTTAGCTGCTGCAAAATACTTCTTTACTGGCAAAATATTGGAGACCACCAACTAGGAGTCCACTGTTAGCAGGCTGTATTTCAATTTCCTGTGAACAGTTTTTATTCCATTTTAAATGGTTTTATTCTAAAGCGGTGGCTTGCCTAGTCATATACCTAGATGAAGGGATTAATCGATTTTTAAAAAAGAAATGGCAGTTTTTCTTTAATTCCACATCCCTATCAGCATCGGGACCTAGACGACAAAAGTGAAATAGCTGAATAATGCGCACCCGTGATAATTCTGATGCCATTGCTTGAAGCACTTTATGAGCCATATCATCCCCTTGAAGGGCTATGAAGACGAAGAAAGACCCGCAAAAATGGACCAAAAAGCACGTGCTTAAGCCCCATTGACTTCAACAGATCTGCTCACATGCCTGAAGTTGAACGTACACATAAGATAGTGCTTTGCCGAGCCAGGACCTGGATTCTGACTCCATGCAGTCAGAAGCACTTCATAGACAAACTAAAGAGCAGGCACGCACGGGCCAGTCTTCCCAGCCTGGCTGCACGGACAGCGGTTGTAAGAAATGGCAAGAAGCAGCAAACCGTCAACATAGACGCTGTGGATTTTCCCCGCAGTTCTTAGGACCCACGAGGGTGTGAAGCCCTGCGCATACACTATGCGATACACACAAGAGTGCAGGTGTCAGGCAGACGTTCCTTGTTGTGAATACAGACCAATAGCTTCCCCAGGAATTGAAATGGGGGGGGGGGGTTTGAATTTCCCAGGGGGGGGGCAGGGGCGGTGAGGGGGGGAC